AGAGCAACAGGCAACAGACTATTAAAAGACACAGAACCACTATGCCATCTTGCCAGGTGTTATACTGACTTTTATTTCTATTTCTTCACATTTGAAAAGGACTTATAAACTGGGCACAAACCTTCAGTCCCAGAAATAATAGGGATTAAAGCAAATCTCTGTGACATTCAGGCCAGCTTGGTCTACACAGTGAATTAAAGACCAGCTGAGGCTACAGGGAGATGAAGAAGAAGAAAAAGAGGAGGAGGAGAAGGAGGAAGAGGAGGATGGGGACAAAGAGGAGCAGGGGGAGGAAGGGGAGGAGGAGGAGAAGAAGGCAGGGCATGGTGGCACACACCTTTAATCCCAGTACTCAGGAGGCAGAGGCAGGTGGATCTCTGTGAGCTTGAGGCCAGCCTGGTCTACATAGTGAGTTCCAGGCCAGCTGGAGCTACACAGAGACCCTGTCTCAAAAAGACCAAAAAAAAAAAAAAAAGAAGAAGAATTACACTCACACTGAGAAAAGACTTCCCAAAAGGGGATTAGGAAATTTAAATCCAAGTCCACCTAGGAGGATTTTTAGTTTTAGTCCCCTCCCCTAATTTTGCATTGGTCAACAAAGAAAGCTGATAGGTTTATGACTTCAAATGAGGAGGTATCAAGGTCACCAGAAAGGTGCCCTATTGGCTAAAGGAGGGACCTCCCCTGGGACAGCCCCCCTTTGTCTCAAACCAAGAAGATGTAATTACACCATCTTTTTTATTTTTTTAATTTTTTGTCTTTTTGAGACAGGGTCTCCTTGTAGCCCCAGCTGTCCTTGAACTCACAAAGATCCACCTGCCTCTGCCTCCCAAGTGCTGGCATTAAAGGCCTGCACCACCATGCCGGGCTATACCATCTTTTTTAAAAAATATTTTATTTTAATTTTTAAAAAAAGACTGTTGGGAGCTGTTAGTCTATTATGTACATTGAGCTGTGGCAGGCTTGTTTACTGAGTTTGTGTTATGCACACCAGTACCTAATCTGCCTAATCAGGAGGAATGTGTTTACCTAATCTGCCTAATCAGGAGGACTGTGTTTATATGGAGAGCCTCACAATATCTGACCTGGAGGCAATAGTGGTAAACAAAAAGATCAAAGAAGGCTTTGAAGTATTTGACCACTCCTTGACCCTCAGATACAGGTGGGAAAAACAGCTGTTGACACGAATTGAGTCTTCTGTATAAAAAGGCAGAGCTGAAATAAACCGGGCTACAGGCACTACTGTCAGCCCTCCCAAGCATCTTTCCTGTCTCTTATTTTTTCTTTCAATCCTCACTCCATTTTCAGGTACTGTCCGTCTTGGCCGGCTGGCACGGGCAAGTGGCGCCCGGAACAGGGACCTGAAAAGTAGGGGAAAAAATGAAGGACACCGCTGGAGAAATTAAGTGAGTGCACTCAGTACAATTGGGGAGCGGTGAGTATTTATCTTGGTCTCGAGAAGATGGGGCAAGGAAACAGACACTCAGTTTTTGTAAGGAATATGCTTGGGGCCTGAGGAGCAAAGGCTGAAACTAAAGAGGAGAATCAGATAAGCCACTGCTGGGATAAAAGTGAAACCAAACCTTCTGCTCCACCAGAGCCAGCTCCATTAGCCTTGCCACCCTTTTATGAGGACCCCCGTCTGGGGCTAGAAGAGGGATCTCTTGACCCTGAGGATGAGTCTGCCCTAGGAGAGGAGACGGTTGAGTATGATCAGGAGAAGTGTCCACCTATAATTGCTTTGCCTGATCACTGGGAAATTAAGCAATTAAGGGCAGAGAGTTAGAGGCTGTGAAGAAGGAAATGTTAAAGAACAAAGAGAAAAGAATTAGGACCACCCCAACACCCTCGATCATGGTAGGATTAGAGCCTCCTCCTCCGAGGCCACCAAAGGCTGTTGTACCTCCCATGATTGCCATGGCTCAGGAGCCTTCGGCAGGAATCTGGTACCCGCTTAGAACCTTGCAATCTCCACTACAACAGGCCATTGGGGCCATGGTAGAGCAAGGAGAGTCAGTGCATGGATTTCAGGTCTTCCCAGTTTCTGAGCAAGTTGATCAGCAGGGCAACAGGGTGCGGTCTCATGCACCTGTGCCTTTTAAGCAGCTTAAGGAACTAAAAACTGCTTGTGCTCAGTATGGTCCCACTGCCCCTTTTACTCAGCCTTTGTTAGAATCCCTGTCCATGGATGTGCTTCCTCCTGGAGATTGGAAACACATGGCACGTGCTTGCCTTTCAGGGGGAGATTATCTGTTGTGGAAATCTGAGTATGAGGAACAGTGCCAGGTGACAGCAAATGCTAATAGAGCACAGAATATTGCCATAGATTTTGATATGTTAGCTGGTGAAGGACAATATAGGGATATTGTTCAGCAGTTG